ATTGAAGCTCAGTTTTTTTTTGTTAATATTTTTGGGGGCTTTTTATTGCCTTTAATGGATAGTGACAGCTGAAGAGTGACAGGAAAGGGGGTAGAGAGAGGGTGGATGACACGCAGTAAAGGGCCACAGGTTGGAGCCCAACCGACGGCCACTGCAGCAAGGACCCAGCCTTGGTATATGCTGCGCCAGCTCTACCAGGTGAGCTATTCAGGCGCCCCCTAATGCTCAGTTTTGACTGGAGGACAATTTTAAACACCCTGCAGAGCCAAAGTCCACCCTTTTATCTTGATTGGTAGAACAACAAAGCCAGTTTTAAGTTTGGCTGTCAACGAATTATCCCTGATGCTATCCCCTGAGGGACACAGATCAATTTGGTCAAATCCCCTAACAGCTGTCCATCACTGGGACAGCAGTTAATGCGGACACATGGTGACACATTGTTTAAAGACAGAGGACTGAAAAATAAAGCTGGAGTGTGCTGCCCTCTGGTGGTAGAATTAAATCATGTCACCTCACAGAAGATTGGATTTTATTCAGATTAAAATGAAAATCAGCTTCTTGTCAGGAAGATTACATGCATTTTAATACTTCAAATAATCAGTAATAATGTAATTTACTTTGTACTTAATCAAATAGTACTGCTACTATTGTTGGTGCTAATATTGAATGTTGATACCAAGGCAGTCTGTTTTAGGAACTGTGTCAGTGTGGTAAAGACATTTTTCTCACTCTTATTGTTCACCTTTCTTGCCCCTATCCACAGTAAGAACCTGATATGTAACATTACTGTACTGTAAGACAAAAATGACCAGTACAAGTACATTTAACAAATCTCTCAATAAAATACCTCCCTCTGTCTGTTCCTTTGTGTCCACCTCTCCCCCTGATGTATGGACACACGGTGTATTTTTGACGTGCAGTTTTTGTGGTTAGGATGAACATGTGACGAACATTATCTTTGCCTGTTATAAGTTCTTCAGGCATTATGAAAAAGTTAGATGACTGAAAACAGGAAACACTGATGTTAGGATGTTTGCATGTGAGAATTTACACAAAGAACATGTTGATGAATGTGCTTGAGAGAAATACAAACTATTCGAAAATGAGTGTTCCGAAGGTGCCATGCCATGCCAAACCCCAAAAGTCTGAAAAAAGCCCCATTGGACCAAAAGCCCATTTGATCGACAGCCAGTTACTCCAAAAACAAATGTCCATTGCTCTGAAGGCCTGTTGCTCTGAAAATACACATTCTGGTATCACTAACTTATCTTTTCGGACATTTTTTGGGCTGTTGGGATTTCGGAATAATGGCCCGTCGGAAAAAGTGAAGTCCCCGTTCAGAGGATAATACATTTTTGTTGTAACTGAGATGGCCTCTCTGAGGTAATTCCCTCTCTTCTGTTCATTTTAGATGCTACAACTGTGGAGGACCCGGCCATCATGCCAAAGAGTGTCAGCTGCCCCCTCAGCCCAAAAAGTGCCATTTTTGTCAGAGTGTTTCCCACATGGTAGCCAACTGTCCAGTCAAAGCACAGCAGCAGCATTCGTCTCCAGGCTATCAGGGAACAGCTACCTCACGGAGGGACGAGGAAGAGGAGCACAGCCAGGCCACCCTCTCTGAAAACTCAGAGTGAATGATAGAGGGAGACTGTGAGATTTTTCACTGGAACACTGCTTAAGAGCTACCTCAGGTTTTATTTATTGAGTGGCAACGTAGGAGTCATCACCATGGTACTGATGGCAGACTCTCTCAGTACCACGCTACGCTGACAGGCATGTCCACTTTGAAATTGTTTTCTTTTCCTTCTGTGTTGTTTTTCTACCTTGGATAAGTGTCTTAGCTTTGGAATGAAACAATCAGACCTACTGTTGATTCAGCCGGTTAGTAGCCACAGATATCAATTCCTTGTTGTGGAAAGTTGTTCTGAGTGGCCTAAAGCACCAGAATGGGTTTGACTGATATATGGGTTTGTAGATATAAAACTATAGTAATAGATCTTTTTTACAGTAGATGTTTTGACATTTCATAACAGGAGAAGTGCATGTGCAATCATGCTGCATTCCATTTAGGTGTTGCTTGCTTGCTGGCACACCTTTTTCCTGCTATGACAAATCAAAATATCAAAACATCTCTAACCTACATTATAGGCATCATAAATTAGACTTTATGGCAGAACAGTTGCATTGGATTGTATAGGTGTACCTCATAATGTGGCAGATGAACCAGTGGTAAGAACATCTCCATTTATGAAATATTTACGAATATCACAGTGGGTCATTAATATCCACTCTATAGGTCCAGTTATTCCACTTCATCTTTCAGAGGCCGTCAAGTGGGGTAATTATTGGGATTTCCTGAATTACAGCACCCTTCTTTATCAGATAATTAAAGATCTTGATAAACATAATAGATTATGGAATTATTGCTTTCCCTAGTATGAACATTATCTGAAATAGCCCACATGTAGCCTTCCTGTACGCCATTATGCGTTATATGCAATAAGCTTGAGCCATTTAGCCAGCTAGTAAGCCAATAGTTAGCTAGATTCTAGCTTTATTTAATTTTTTTGAAACACAGTGCCTGAAATGGAGCCAGTGCTCACAGGTACTGAGGACTTGTGATTACCGCCACCTCCTGGTGAGTCTAGGTACGCAACCCTGAATATCCACATGACATTAGATTTTTTTTCTCCACTGTCATTTTGTGAAGACCCGCCCTAAAAAATAAAATAAAGCTAGAATCTAGCTAACTAGTGGCTAATCTAACCAGCTAGCTAGCTAAAAAGCTTCTTGATTATATAATGGGGTACAGGGAGGTTACATGTTAAAGCTACTTAAGTTGCAACTTAAAGCTTTTGGGCTATTTCAGATAATGTTCATATTCTGCGTCTGATTGGCTAGTGTCTGTTGCCTTTGTTGGTTAGGTTCAGGCATAAGGAGTGAGATGGTTATAGTTAGAAAAATATGTCAGGGTCAGGGCAAAAGGCCTGCACAACTACTTTCCTGTGTAAACACATACCTAGCTTAATGCTAAGAAAATAGCGCTAAAAATGTTATGGTAAAAAATAAGGGTTAGGGTTATGATGTGGTTAGGGTAGTGCTGAATTAGGGTACTGGCAAAAATATTTTTTTTAATTAAAACAACAACAATAAAATACAAAGTACATTATCAATAAAGCTTAAGAAACTTGTTAGTATGCTATTCATACGACAGCAACGTACCTTCAACCTACCAAGATGAGCACACCTAGCGAGCCGAACGACAAACTTAAGCGTTGCAAAATGTTATCCTGTGTGCGCACTGAGAAGATTTTACACTTTCTTTACCCTTTATAAATAAATGTCTCTCACTGATTTTCTTGGCACAAAAAATCTCAATATCAAGTTTATGATATTAGTAGGTACAACAAAACAGTGGCTACAGCGTTTGACTAAAAAATACCAGTATTGGCTTTCAAACACCCATACTATCAGTCAAACTCTTGTGTCTGGTTTCAGAATGGAGGATAGGGTTACAATCCGTTTTACAAGAACTGACAAGATCATATCCTGTTGATTATACATTGAATTTGAAGTGTGATCAAATGAGATCACACAGTATTAGGGTCACTTTAAGGAAAACATTTTGAGAAGTCTAAATATATATTCTCAAAATATGACATTTTTGTATGTAATACCATGACTTTATTGTCATAATATTCTGATTTAATTTCTTGTGCAATTACACTTTACTTTATTGTACCAATATTGATCCTCTTGTAATACTCAAAAAGTCATACTACAAAAATGACTTCTTCAAAATAGGTCAACGTTTTTCTCAAAGAAAGTGGCTCTAATGCTCTAATACTGTTGTAAACTGATGATTGTTGTTTTTTTTTTTTTTTTATTTTATTTTTATTTTTACTAAACTTGAAACATGAGGTAAACAATCCAACATGTGAATGTAAGAGAAAAAACATATGCCAGGAGGACAAATATTTTGTTAAAACTATTTGTGTCTTTATGGGAAAACCTTTTCAGGTAGTAAAAAGTGAATGTCACAACTTAAGTGCCATGACCTCCACTTTCCAATGAGGTTGATGAGAGCAGCTTTTAGATGCCATATTCCACTGAAAACAACATTATTTCACCACGTGTGTACCATTGAAAAATAATTAATTAATTTTTCCATTAGTGGTGAAGTTTATGTCCTAAATACCAAGTTGCCATTTCATTATTTGAACTTATATGCAAGACCAGTACTGATTGTATGGCAGACTTTGTCTGCAAAACAGTATTAACCCAAAGAAAACACACACACACCACACACCACACACACACACACAGGGATTTTCTCACATTTTTCAGTTATACTAGTACTTGAAAGCTTTTGGTGAAGCAGAAGGAAGGAGTTGAGATGTGGAACCTTTTTGGCTTTTGACTTCACTCAATTTAGTAAAGCGGCTAAATGTATATAAATATTATCTTTTTTTATATTAACTATTTATTCAGAGTTGTTCTCCCTGAAGAAGACTTAACATTTGATAGCTTTAAAGGACCAGTGTGTAGGATTCAGTGGCATCTAGTGGTGTAGTTGCAGATCACAACTCCCTCCCCGCTCAAACCCCTCCCGCTTCCAAGATAGATAGATATGATTGATAAATAGATAATTTATTTATCCTGAGGGATAATTCAGGGGGCGAAGGAGAAACTATGGTGGCCATAGAAACACGCGCAATAAGCGCAAAATGCCCCTTATCTATAAAGCGCAGATGTTTGGTTTGTCCTGTTGGTACTGAAATGAATATTAAATGAATATTATATTTCCCATTTCTGCCAATAGATCGCTCCCTAAAATGTCAGCCACACTGGAACGCTTTTAATAGTTCCTTTGAACCATGTGCTGTGACCAGAAAGATCTTTATATTCTTTCAATACAACTCAGTACTTGAAGCAGCTCAGGGCTTGTGGCAGTATTTCAGTTTCTAGTTAATATTTAATTGTTTTACTTTTGGCAGTGTCATATTTTAAGTGCAGTTTTTGCAAATGTACAACTTTACTGTATTTCTCCTGCACAGAAAAACACCGTGTCTGGTGTATGTATAGATTTGGTTTCTCAGTGACCTCAGCCTGCATGAGTTTAATTGAACATTTTCATTTTGAACTCAGGGAGAACTTTTCTTGATCTAGTTTCTTTTAGGATGGTGTCTAGGATGTTTTAAGTTTTTACTGGTCCTTGGGGTGCCGAAGACCCAGGGGCATAAACCTGCAAAATGAGCCCATGCACTATAATGTAATGTAATTTTCTGCCCATGAAACAGAGGCATTACTGTGGCAATCTTTTTTTTTTTTTTCTAATTGTGTGAACTTAAAGTTGCAGTAGGTAACTTTCATACATTTTTTTTGTTACATTTGCTGGAATCTTTTGCTATATCCTTATGTAGTACATGACACAGATAATCTGAAACGATCAGGTTACTCTGAATTTTATCATAATGACAAAAAGTTATTTTTGTAAAAAGTACCCACTGCAGCTTTAAAACAGTACAAAAAAGGGCCAGGAATGCACTGAAGCTCATACTGATACAGAAAAAAAACCTAAACTGCTTAAGTAATCCAAAGGAAGATTTCTTAATCATTAGCACTGACATATTTACTTTTAACAGTCCTGCTCGGATGGATACCAAAACAGGTATTCAGAGATGACAACAAATATCCACTGACATTTTCAACAAGTCAAGGCAAGCATGGCACTATATTTTAATTGTTTTTATTGTACATATCATCTTTTTCACATGTATCAACATAATGTTCATGATGTGTTTGCATGATAATGAGTAGAATAATAGATTAGTTTAAGGGGACTGGCGACTGAGCCCACTGATTGCACAGCACAAATGATGTTTAAAAGCATCAATATTGATCATCATTATGGGTCATTATGCCTATATTATGTGCTTGAGTTCACCATAATGCTCACTTACGCTGCAGTACAATGGGGTCTAATCTACCGTGTATAATACTCTAATCTAGCCCATGTCCCAGTGTTTTGTCTTGTCTTTTGTAGTTTGTATTCCTATGTGTGACCAAGACAGAACTTGTCTTGTCAAAAATCTATACAAGTCTACCTCAGGTGTGGTTTTGGACCGCTTTAGAACAGCTTGTCCAAAAAACAGTTTTATATGTATTGTAAATTTGTTGTCTGTTCAAGTATTTATTATTACTTACTTTTTTTACACCACCTTTTTCAATGTGATGTGTGCTACCTCACAGAACGTATTCTGCTATTTTTATAGTATCTTTATGCCTGTTGTTGTGGCCAACACAGTAAGAGATCCTCAACTTAAGACCAAAGTGGTGTGCTTTTGACTGAAGTCTTAGCCTTGTTTCCAGGACATAGAGAGACACAAAAGCACTAATAAATACGCAAATAAGATGTTAACTTGCATTCTTAAAGCGAACACCCATATCTCTACTTACCAGAAGAGACACACCCATCATTTTCGTCTTTCTGGGGACCACAGTGAAGTCCACCCTCACTGTAACCGTGCAAAGACTGTTTGGATTAAGCATGTTCATGTTGACTCTGGATATAAATATGATCTTTACTCAGTACTCAGGGTGGTGCTGAACACATACTAAAGCCTTGTTTAACTCAATGATTAAGTTTGTCTTTAAACATGGATCATCTCCCCACCTTGCTTAATTTTTCAGCCTGCAACTGTGCTGCAACACAATGGGAAATTAAAGATCTAACATAGAGAAGATTTGTGTTTCATTTATCTGTTTCTGACTTTATGCTGATGATGTTAAACTTTTGCTAGATATGGATACAAAGTTCACATTTTTAATCTTATTTTAGGCAATACTTGCAAAGGTAATATTCAGTATATACATAAGTGATTATTATTATTTCAGTGCAGTGTTGTATTAATTACTTGGACAACAGTGAAACTAATCTGATTTCTGATTATAATGAAGCCTAAAACATACAAAAAGGAAATGTTAACTCAAGGTGCACTTACCAGCATTTTCCAGAGTTTTCGACCACATTTTGCCATTTTCTTCAGCAGATAGCGTTTGCTCAGTTGTCATAGTGAAAGCTCAGTTCGTATCACCATGCAACCTATGTATGGAACCAAGCTATTTCCATGACAACTTGGCAAACTCACTGATGAAGACCACAAGATACATATGAAATCTTGGAGAAAAAGCTGTTGTGCTTTTCATGGTATTGTGCCTGGCATCGGTCAATAAATGCTTTGGTTGCAAATCATTTAATATGTGATTGGGAGACCCCATCAAATTTTATCGAGAATCTTTATCTAAGGCAAATGGCCAAAATTAATTTCCAGCCTTACTTTGACTGGAACATCAGTGGAAATAAATACAATTTCATACTTTTACACTTAATCTAAAGAATCTCAAGATCTAGCTATTTCTTTTTATTATTATACAATCAATTATTATTATCATTAGGCAACCCAAACTCTTCTGTTTCATTTTCTCAACAGAAATGTCAAAGTCTAAGCTTCAGGAAGAGTGACAGGGTCCTTGCATTTCATTGCACAGATGTGTGCAGGTGTTCTTGTTATTGTGTCCACCCCCTTGTTAGTGACAGTTCGGTTTGAGGAGGAGGGCAGAGGGTGTCCGCATTTTACAGAACAAATATGGGGAACTACATAAAGCCACCCAGATTCTACCTAGGGTCCGGCCAAGTGCTGTGAATTTCCTTCAAAATAGAGTGTACAAATTTGTCCCCTATGGGAAAAAGAAGTTATTAGCGATATTGTTAAATAATAGATATGTTACTGTAAAACAGACACGTTTAAACTTTTAAGTTACAAAAGTCCTGGCATCAACTTCCAATATAGTGAATATGATTCTGTTCAGTGTAATGATACTTGCAAAGTTATTATATTATCTGGTAAAATCATATTTAGTATTTAAGTTATTTTACTTGCCTACATGTATTCTGTAACTTAATAATTGTTTGCAAAAGATCATGAAATGGAAGTAATGTAATGCCTTTGGTACTGGAAAGTTGTTATTTTCATTGTGCCTTAATTCATTTATATGAGCATAAATTCAACATAATACAAGGATACAATGTAATTTAATTATTCATTATTAGTGGTCATTAAACATGCAAGTTTGTGCAATTAAATTCAGATTGTAGTTCCCTTTATGCTACTTATAAAAACAAAATATATATATATATACACAATTTATATATGTCATAAGTAATACATAATAAAATGGTGAGCTAAATTCTGTTTTAAATGAATGAAAGTTTCTGCTATTGACTACATTAAAATATGACATTATTTATATATATGTAATTCATACTGGATACTGGATGTAAGCTCATTCGGAAAATATTAGTTTGTGTGTCCTGAAGTTCTCTAGCATTTACACATTGTTCTATTGTTCTTCACAAAAAGGGAATTTATTTTGAAATGTGTAGCCGGAAGTCGTGTGATCTCGGCCACCTCTGCGCTGCGCTGCTCAGCAGCTGCACGCTCTCACGTCCAGTGTTTGACAAAACCTCCTCGGTTTGACTGTGCGAGCAGAGCGTGTGCGGCGGTAATGGCTGCCAGGGAGAGTGAGGAAGACAACAAATGAACCCCGGAGAAACGATTCAAAGGTGAGACTGAAAACATGACAACTTGCAGCGTAACACCCGCAGCCTTTTCTACATTTAGACTATTGTCTTGTCTGCTGTGGCTACTTGTCTACTTGGCTCGCAGGTGTGTGTTGTGAGGAATCTGGTTGAATTTCTGGATGGCACATAAACACACGCACACACACACGCACACACACACACAGGACAATAACCTGTCAATAGCCAGTGCTTACCGTGCACGCCTCCTCCGTCCCCCAGCGTTAGGACAGTTTGAGAGCCATGGACTTGTTTTAGGTTTGAATTATGTAAGCTAGATGCAGAGCTACATGTCGATGGTGCTGGAGAGAGCTGGACTCTTTGTTAGCGGGTGTTAACGTGATTAGCTAACGTTAGCCAACCAACAACATCGTTAGCTGGCGGTGGCCAGGCCACATAGCTGTTAGCCTGTTAGCCTGTTAGCCAATCAGGCGACTGGATGTCTAATTAGCCCGTTAGCATGCTGGCTATCGCTCTTTCTGTCAGGGCAGCAGCGTTTCGCTTCCGACTTATTAGAGATGTTTATTACCTCCAAAGCTGACACTGTCAAGTATCTTTACATTGGAATGAAGTTTCAGGATGTGTCCAGTGTACAGCCAGTGCAGGCAGGTGCTGGGGAGAGTTTGAGCACTGTCAGTGAGTGGTCGTCCAGTCGTTTCGAGTATGGTGGGCTAGCAATTTGAGTTCGTTGCAGTGCTAACTTGATGTTTTGCAGAGGTTTGGTAATTCGATAATCTTATGTTTCCCATAGTCACTTCTTGGAAACAGTAGTTCAGTAGATTGAGTAATGTGATTTAAGAGATGATGTATAAATGAAGACCCACTCTTCATTAATTGGGGATCAATGTAGCCAGCATATATTATATATATATATATATATATATATATATAATATATCTCATTGAATTGGCCAAAACAACACTTACATATGTAGGTTTTTAATAATAGTGTTATTATTACTGTTAGAACTGAACTTATTAATAATATTGTATTAATACTATGTGTAGTATTAGAATTTCCCTCAGGATAAATAAAGTATTTATCTATCTGTGTGTAGAAGACTAACAGTAATGATGATCACTTTCATTCAAAGTAATCTCAAAACAATCTGTCCATTAATTGATTAGTCAATTAACAGAAAATAAATCAACAACAATCAGGGCATTTGTCCATTATAAATGTGACAAGCATAAACATTCTCAGTGTATCACATATGAAGACTTGCTTCTATTCTCTGTATCATGTCATCAAACATTAAATGTGATCTGATTACGTAACTGTTGGTTTGAAAACTTACCTGATTATGATAATAATTATTATTCCAGCCCTTGTGCTGTTTTCTGGGCTGGCAGGTATATGAGGGTTATGTAACTACATAATAAGGATGCATGAAACTGATGATATGATTTGACCTCTTCTGGTGAGGTAAGCCTCACACTTCCCATTTTAAGTGCAAACTGCTTTGCAGTGCATGCTTTCAGCTGTGTAACAACGTCTTGGAATGTCTTCTGGTGTGACATGTGCATGTGCAGGGGCATAAAGTCATTAAACACCTCAACAAGGTAACATGATAACCCTGGAACAGAAACCAGTTTGTGAAATGAGGTGTCAGTTTAACACTGGTTATTGTTGTGGCTCTAAGGTGTGCGATTTTTTATTTATTATGTTGTATTTATTGTTTTTAGGAGTATTGTGCGTAGTGGTTACCTTGGACATGCAGTCATTTTCAGGGTGCTAACAGTGTGTGCAGTAGTGTATAATGTAGGTTCTCTCATTTTTGTTCTTATATATGTGCTCTTGACATGGTTTCCAGTGCACCATCAAATCTAAAGTCTAAAGTTAGGAGACATTAGGATTCTATCAGAAGGAACATTTGGACCAAAGTCTAGCCATTTGTAAGATCTGTCAGACAGAATGAAGTCCAGTGTAGCACCACCAAATGGTAACACTCGCCCTGGTAAGATGGGCATGGTGGACACTATGCGGCAAAAGAGGAGTCTGTGGATGCTAATACAGCTAGCAGCAAAGGCAACAACGAGCTAGACACGGATATTAAAACAGTTTCCACCCACAACTTAAGCATGATACATTTGTCTCCTTTTTTTCCCCCATGCCTGTAAACAGAAAAAAAAACCCTTGTGAGCCCCCCCCCCCCCCCCGTGAAGCTGTGGCGACCCCTAGTGGGGGTCCTGCCCACCATGTTGGGAACCACTGACATAGTTAAAATGTGAAAATAAAAGTACACGGCAACAACACCGAACTTTACAGACATCAAGCATTTTAGCAAACATTTAAAAGCAGGTAATATAGTGACAAGCCTGATTTCTGGGGGCAGGCAGGGAATTCCAGAACCTAGGGGCCCTTACAGCTAGTACTATGTATCCTTCCACCATGACTCGGCAAGGAAAGACAAAGAGGGACTTTCGTACGAGGACTCTGACTGTAAGATACACACTTTGTGATCAGGCTAGCTCAGACTGCTTTGACCTTATACTAGCTTTGGCTGAACTTAAGAATGAATTATACTGCATGTAAGTGAATGTACAGCACTGCTGCGTAAACTAAACACAAACAGAATCAGTAGAATATGAAGCCCATGTTCTTTGTCCACAGTGAGGACTAGGATGGTAAGCAGCCAGCCGAAGTACGAGCTGATCCAGGAGGTGGGGCGTGGCAGTTACGGCGTGGTCTATGAGGCAGTAGTGAAGTGCACAGGGGCCCGGGTGGCGGTGAAGAAAATCCGCTGCCACTCTCCAGAAAATGTGGAGCTGGCCCTGCGGGAGTTCTGGGCCCTCAGCAGCATCCAAAGCCAGCACCCAAACGTCATCCACCTGGAGGAGTGCATCCTGCAGCGGGACCAGCTGGCCCAGAGGATGAACCACGGCTCCAGCTCCCCGCTCTACCTGGAGGTGAGGACGCAGAATTCATGGGAGCAGGGTTGGGGGCCGTACGTTGCAGTGTAACAGTAAACCTGCGTTGATGCTGCATGCATTTAAAACAGTAAAGATTAAAATACTGTCACGTTCGCGCTTCTTTTATGAGGTCAGACAAGTTCTTGCTGAATGTGTGATTTGTTTGTTTCGCTTGGAGTGTTAGCTTTTTGCAGTTTGCAAGTTCGTTTGCCGCTGGTGCATATTCAACTTCCTACAGCTGCTTCAGATTAAAAGCCTTCCAGGGAAGAGAACTGATTATGAGAGGATTATGGCTGGTTATTGTTTTAAATTTTTTTAAAATTACTAGTACCAATACTAGTATTTTTAATGTGTTACTGATATCAATAGAGTACTTCATTCGATACCTTTGTTTTTAGCAATGCTGTGTTAAAAGAAAAGGTCCGTGTTGCAACAATCTCCTGATACTTTAGTCCCAGTGACAAGGCTCCTGTCTGACACCTGCTTTTCTGCGAAGGTCCAACTAATGAAAAGTTGGTCGACGAAGACTCTTCTTGTCGACTAACAGTTTACTCAACTCTTTAAATGAAAAGGACACTTGGCTGAGTGGATGCTAATTAGAAATAAAGTATCATCCACTCTGTTTGCTTCAGAGGTCAACAAGCCTAGAACTTGATTGACCAACGACATAAATATACATTGGTTTCCATATTAGGCAGTTTCAAGCAAATGGTCTGTGAAAAGTTTTAAGTGCTGGCTATAAGCTGATTATCTCCCATTTTTAACCGCACTGGGTCCTAAGTTCTGGCTGATGTCTTGCGTTTATGAAGTTTATAAAGCATCTCTTTGGAGTTTGGAATTTTCCTTTTTTGAACCCACAGAAGTAAAACTTGAGTAAAACATATGACTCTCACTGTATGTTACAGCAGGGGTCCAATGTGGGTCTCTCCTCAGACAGCACTTTACAATACTATTGTATCTAACTGTACTGCTAAATGCTAACAGTATTTTAGCTTATGAGGCTAATGCTAGATAACATGCAGAATGGCTGAACAGACAAACAGCAGGCTAACCAAAGCTATCTTATACAAGCAAACATTTAAACATCAGTGAATCAAAAGCATTCCATTATTATTGACAACACTGAAACATGTAACATGAAACAGCGCTTGTACGTCCAAAGAATGCGTCCCCTTTCTGTTGATGTAGTCTTGAGGATTTGGCTGGGGGTTGCTTTACTTCGCTGTGTGCAGTTCCAAGCATTGTGGCGTTCCATGTGTTTGGTAGAAGTCGAAGATAGTATCTTTCACTTTGGGCTCTGTATTTGTTGTTTTGATATAGTTTGCGCCCATGATACAGCCTTACAGGGTGTCGGACAATGACTGAAACAACTTGTCGGGATAGTCCAAAAGCATTAGTGGTTTTCTGAATCTTCCCTTGTCACTCAGGTAATGTTAATACAATGTGCATCCTCAGGTACGCTCATTTTTGTTATTGCTTACAGCTGATAGCATAGACAGCAAATCCAGCAACGGCTGTAACCTTAATTGGTTATCCATGTTAACTTTACCACTGGTTCTCAAGGAATAAGTCATGCTTAGGTTCTTCTGGAAAGGGGTTCTGGGACAGGGTTGTGACGAATTACTGACTGTTGAGTCCCAATCAGTGATCGATTCTGAAAGTCTGTTTTATGGCCGTCCAGACTTAAACGCAACACGTTTGAAAACAACGCTAGGCGCAAACGTAGCAAAACGTAACTAACTAAAACATAGTATTGTGGACGTAGCCTCAGTGAGTTAGCAGTGTGCTACTTGAGTGCTGTGTTTTTAGCCTACACTTCTTACCATTTGGGCAAATTGGCACCATTAAAACTATGCTGAATTAGCTGTTCCTGTCTGCAGTGCACCTAAGGAAAACTAACCATTTTCAGGCAAGTTCTGGGGTTATAAGCATCTTTTTTCCCCCCCAATTATTTCAAATTGGAATGAATTCAATTAATGTAACCTCTGGACCAGTTAAGAAGGAGTGGAGACACAAGGCAGACAGACACGTTGGATCCCCCCCCCCCACATATTTGTTACTTTCTCACTGTCCTACTGTCTGTTGCATGTCTTCATCAAAATGGTCTCCATTAGACTGACATCTATCAAGATGAATTGATCCTACGTTACTTAAGGATTTTGAACAAAATGTTGTTAACAAAGAAAAAGTGTTGTTTTGATGATCACCATCACATATTTAGATTATTTTGTTCCTGAAATGTATACATTTTTCATATTGATGTAAAAACTACTCTTATTAATATTATAATATATTTTTAGAGATTACTTTTTGAGCTTTTATTGCCTTTATTAGATAGGAGCAGCTGAAAATGGATAGGAAAGTGAGGGGGAAGCCAGTCTCTAAACGCTTCGCTCAATACATACTGAGGCTAAAACTGGGTGGAAACTATTAGAGAGCTAAAAAAACTGCATTTCATAACCAATCCAACATCTTTAAGGCGGTGATACAGAAGTTGTAAACACCGTCGTACCATACAACATTGTTTGAGACATCCACTGTGAACGTTTTAAAAAGCTCTCCTCGGGTTACAAAGTGATTCACTATATCTCCAGTTTGTTCCACTGCAGAGGACAATGGGAGGGGAGAGCATTGTTTCAGGTGAGGAGTGTCCTGAAGTAAGCGTTGCATGTATGTTAGTGGCCGCTATCGCGCCTTTCAAGCAACTGCCTTGCATTTAGAAATCCCGAGTATCACGAGACAACGGGTGACATGCAGCAAGGAGTTGGAATCAAACCCGAGCCGCTGCTGTAAGGTCTCAGCCTTTGTACACCGAGCGTGTTCTACCAGGTGATCTATCAGGGTGCCCAATGTCATAATATTGATTTGATCTACATTACGTGGTCTCTGCCAGTAGTTAAATATTCAACATTCACCATGTTGTTCCATATTGTGCTTCAAAATAGTCTTTGAATCACATTTTATGAATTATGACTGTGTTATAATCATGTGTCATTTGACAAATCTAAATCCCTTACATGATCAGTCTACCAATTGTGTGAGCCAGTAGTGCTAAGCAGTCACTACAACCTGCTGGCTGTCTCAATTAATGTGATTTTCAGTAATTACAAAGGTTACAAATTCATCATTCGGCACACTACCAGACTGGCTCAGTAATAGTCGGAGTGGGAAAACCAGACTGTCAGGTAGTGGAGAATTAGAGTGAGCAGACATGTCAGGTTTAGATACCAGTGTGTAACTGCATCTAACATGAAACTGAAAACAAAGCATTGCTGCTGCAGCTGTCAGGGCTGCCACTATATGCTTTAGGGAAACACTGAATAGACTGGAGAGTAATAAGTAAGACACAATAACTGTGGCTCTTGGAGTTCAATCAGACTTGAAAGCATAAAAGAAATTGTACTGTACATTAACAAGAATTCCCACATTTAAATGTTAGCATAAATCTCAATTCTTAGCTTGGCATGTTGTCCTGTATATAAGCATACACCTTCAAAGGCCTCTATCAGTGAATCTGCTGCATCAGATAAGCTAATGTTATCTCATGATCTGCCCCATACACTTGCCCTACTTGAGACTGTTGTTTGCTGTACACGCCTGCCAAAAGCAGATCTTGTTAATAACTCGACTAAATCTGTGCTGGCAAGACACAAGGCCAAACATTCCGGTCCACAAGTCCCAGGGATGATGGCAGATTTCAGAGGAAGTAGACAACGGCCAGGAGAGGAATCCAGCTGGACCCGCTATAATTGACATTTCAGCAGGCGTTTGAAAAACACTTGTTGGTTGGCCACATGTTGCCGCGTCTTAAAATAGACTGTAACGCTATAATTTCTGTAATGAATTGGAAGCCTGTTTTTGATTTACAAAGCGTATCATGATATCCCCTGACATATCCTAGATTATAAGAGGAATGTTTATTTTTCCATCCACTACCGACCACTGTTGACATATTGCTGTCGCATTGCTCCTGGCAAAGACCACTCGTCAGATCTTTCTGTCACAATGTAGACCCAATAAGTTAAACATAAAGGTCAGTGATTTTTCCGGCACCGCAAAGTGAGTCATCCGCCGCAAGCTAGCTATTTGTTGTGTAAACTCATATTATAGTTGTTAGTGTAATGATTACAATTATGGAGACATAGGATATCAGCACAAATATTGGCTCTGGGAATAAAAAGGAAGCAGTTGAGCCCTGGCGTATATCCCTCTGTGCGCGACGCTGATGTGCATTAGCGGAAGAGCTGGAAGGTTCTGGTAGGATCTGTGTTGTCTCTGGCCTCCAATGCTCCCACAGTCACATGAACCGTGTTGTCAGGTTGAGAGGGGGGGGTTCTCCCCTCCCCAGTCAACCTGTCTGCAGCCTGTCATGTCGCAGTGCCTCCCGCTGTCTGACGGCGCAGGCACACAGGCACTCTGCCGGTGCCTGATTATAGTCTCTCAGCGGCACGCGGGCTATTGTCAGACCATCCATTGCGTTTTCTGCAGCGCTAGCATTGGACACTTTCCCAGAATCCCTTTATTCCAGCTCTTTTTTTATTGCTCTGTAATGTTCCAGTACGTGCTTACAGAAGAACAAATGATAATAGGGCGGAATTATCTGACCGCACCAACTGTGGGATAATTTGCATCTATTCTTTTTGGGTAGTGGATTCTTTGGCTAGTGGCATGTCAGGCAATTTGCAGCCATTTGTTTACAGCAGGGCTTCCACTAGGAATTGCCTACTACACATATTCACAGCAATTGTGTTTCCTGTAAAGCAGTTTACATCAAAAGCCTTAATTTGTGGTTTAGCCAGCCAACATTTAAAAAATGACAGTTCTTCAGCTGATATTTGATCTGCTGTTTGCTGCCTGCATATCAACTGACACTTTAACTATTTACAGGCCACACACTTCAATTTGCTTTGGCGCTTCAACTTTTCCATTATTTCAAAATTTCCAAATGAAAATGTTCTGCTGCAAGCGCACTGAAGTTCTCTTCAGAAAATGTTGAC